GTTTGCACTTGGATCAGGAGGCAGTGACGGGATCCGGAGCTCGGGACCACAGCGGGTGTGGAGCCAGAGCCAGGGATGAGCTTCTTGTGGGAAAGGCAGGGCAGAGTTATCCATGGCCATAAACCCAGCTCTAAAACGCGGGATTTGGAGCTGGGATATGCAGTGGGAACCTCCTGTCTTGTTCTCATAGCTGAGCCTGGCTGCTTTTCCAGCCATTCCCATTGATCCCCACGGCTCTGCCCAGGGCGAGGGAAAGTGCTGCTGGATGCCGGAGAAAGCGCCCCTGGAGAGGGAAAACTTCCTCCAATTTCTTCCCCATTGACTGCGACATCTGTTTGGGGGATGAGTCAGGCGGGTTCCCAGCGCCTGTGTGGGAGGGAAGAAGGGCGAGAGCCGGAGGGGTCGGACCTGCCGGGCTCCGGCCGCGCATCCCGGTTCTATCCCCGCATCCCGATTCCACCCGCTCATCCCAGTTCCATCCCCGCATCCCGGTTCCATCCCCGCATCCCGGTTCTATCCGCGCATCCCAGTTCTATCCCCGTATCCCGGCCCCATCCCGGCCCCATCCGCGCATCCCGGCTCGGCGGGGAGCTGCTCCAGGGCGTTTAATCAGCCCAAATCAATTTAGAGCTTTAATTGCTTTGCTCGGTGTGGGTGGCACTCGGCGCTTGCCAAGGACATGATAACTGCCAAAGTCTGCGCTGGCTGCGGCGCCTGGAATTGCTGCTCCTGCACGGATCCCGCTCCATCACCAGCCCTGGGAACAGGGATTTGTCCTTCCGCAGGCTCTGCTGTCGGCAGGGCTTTGCTGAGCAGGCGATGCCGAGCGCCCCGGAGGGAAACCCCAACCCACAAACGCTCGGGATGGGAAATCATATCCCAAGTCAGCGTGTTTTCCTTGCATCTTGCTAAACACAGGGATCAGTGTGAGAGCAGGATCCCGCCTGGACATGGGGAGGTGGCAGGTGCCTGGGAAAGGAGGCGGTGCCAAGGGATGGGTTGGTTCTGTGGGGCTGCAGAGCTCGGGAACACCGGGATTGTGCCGGATCTTGGCTCTGGACTCCTCAGAGCAGCCGGGATTTTGATCATTGCTCCAGCACAATGCCTCGAGGTCAGCCCTTGGCAAGATCTCGTGCAGGAGCATCCATGGCCAAGCATTCCCAGCCCCACCAGACCCTGGGGTGGTTTTGGGAAGCCCATAGGTTCCAGCTGGTGCCACCCGGAGCTGCCTGGGCCGAGCATCTCTTGGTGGCACCGTCTGACTCCAGGCACACAAAAGAAGTCCCATCAGTTTGTGGTTGGTTTTCTCCCTTGCTGGCTGGATCCAGGATGTTTTTTGCCCTGTCTTTACAGCTGAGGGTAATTAATAAGCCTTAATTAATCTCCTGTGGTAGATGAACTTCCTTTCTGCTGGGAGAGGGTTGGAATGGCTGGTGGCAAACCCAGGGCAGTGTTGTTTGAGCTGGTGCTGGGGTGTCCCAATGGGGCAAATCCTGCTCCTTTTCCAGGCTGGAGGAGGGTCAAGGGGCATCACTGCCAAATTTTCTTGTGTTTCCTTGTGCTGCCTTTGCTCCCAGCCCCTGCACTGGCTCTTTTCCCGCTGGGATGGATGCTGGGCCTGGGATGGGTGAGGCTTGGGAGCGCGGGAGCTGCGTGGGGAGGGAAGGAATTTTCCCGGTGCCACATCAAGCCTGGGGTTATCCAAACCTCCTGCTCCGTGTGGGTGGGGGCTGTGCTGCTCAGTGCTCCCAAACTCCCCCAAAAACCTCTTGTTTGTCTCTCTGAACTCCATCCCTGCATCCAACCTTTCCCATTCCTCTTCCCTGGGGGTCCCTGGAGTCTCTCCCAGCCCCCAGATGACTTTTCTTGCAGGTGTTGAAGGGACTGGGGGTGACAGAGCTGCCACCACAGAGCCTCTGCGGGCTGGGGGTGGCTGCTTGGAAGCAGCTGCAGCATCCTGGTGGTAATGAAATCCATGGGGAAAAGCAGCCCCTGAGCAGCAGGAGCGGCGTTTGGGAGCCAGATTTGCCCGAAGGGAAGTGACTCAACGTCTTGGAAGGAGTTGGGGGCGGTGGGGGGGAACAGAGGACAGCGGTTGACCCAGGGTGGGGACAGCACAGCCGGGGGGCTGGCAGCCACCTGCCTGCCCGTGGGCTCCCGGCTGGAGCAGCATCCCTGCGGAGCGCTCTGCTCTCCGTTATCCCTCCGTGGGACGGTGTGCTCGGAGCCAGGGGGCGGCACAGGAAAGGAGGCCCCTTGGGAAGCAGCTTGTTGCTTCCTTACGCTGGGTTGTGATCCAGGCCAGCGTTCCCAGCTCCCGGCGTCACACCCTCTCCCAGCTGTTGCTCGCCGAGCATCGCGCTGCCAAAAAAACCTTGGTGATGGATGCAATCCCCTCCCCGCTCCCTTAAAACCGGCGGGGAGCTGCACCGTGCCTGTGCCTGGTCCCGGTGCGCCGGGATCCGCCTGGGAATGGGATCCCGCTGGCACCCAGGGCACGCCGAGCTCGTCCTGCCCAGCACGGAGCAGCGGGACAGCGTTGGCACCGCACGAGGTATTGGGAAAGGTGACTGGGATACTGGGAGGTGTCACTGCGGGAGCAGATGGGACAGGATGTGGTGGCAGAGCGATGGGGCAGATCCAGCCTGTGCCATTCCCCAGCCGGCTCCGTGTTTGTCATGGTTTTTATAATTTTGGGCTGCGTTTCCCACTGTCCTGGGGCACCGCTCCGCTGCACGCTGCCGGGGATGTGCCACAAGTGTGGAATATCCCGGGAGCCCCTGGGAGAGAGGGACACCAGGGAGCCGGTCAGGAGCCCCCCCTGCCCGGTTCCACGGGGGAGATTGGCACATCCCCGTCCCGTTCACACTTCAGGGCTTTCTGGGGCTTCTCCTTTCCCCGTAGCAGCGCCATAAGCCGGCACATCAGCACTTTTCCAGCCCTGATTCAGCTCAGGGATGTTGCGACACCGAGTTGTGCAAAGCTGGCAGAGCCTCCGATTCCTCTTTTTCGGCTCTCACTGGAGCTCGTCCGCATGGGGCAGGGTCAATGTCCCCACCTGACGGGACATGGTGGCCTTGAGCTCCCTCCCACCTGCCATCACTCCGTGCTGGCATCACCCCCTGTCCCCTGATCACACTTGGGGTGGTTTTCCAGCTCTGAGGATTTGTCCCTTGTGCGTGGCTGAAGCGGAGAGCTGGAGAACTCACGGATCTGGATGATGGAGAGCAGGTGGGGGCTGCGGTGGAAGCTGCTGCTCTGTCACACCACGGTGCAGCTTTTGCTCCAGGTGTTTTCTATCTCCCTCTGGATGAGCTATCCTGGCTCAGGGCAGGGATTTGTGTCCGGGGATTTGTGTCCATCCAGGCTCAGCTCGTGCCGGATCACCGTGGATGCCACTGGCAATTTCCAGCTCCTGGCAGGCACAGGGTCGGGGTCAGGATGGCCCCTGGCTGGTGACCCTCTCTTTGGGGTCCCGGTACAAACCAGGACAGGCTGACTTCCTCACTGGGAATGCACTGCTGGATGAACAGCTGGGAACAGGCAGGATCTGATGACCAGCTTCTCTTCTTCCCTGCACCCCGGCAATGGTTTGGGGTCACCCCTCTCCTGTGTGTGTGAGGCCGGGAGCATCTCAGGAGCAGGGCATGGATTTGGGGCACCTGAGGAACAGGGATGGAGGGTGGAGGAGCCCAGAGGGGACCTTTGGGTTGTGCTCACAGTGAGGGATACCCAAACCCTTCCCAAAGGCTCCCAGGAGATTTCCAAGCCACAGTGGGCAGCACAGGAGCCGTGGTGGACGGGGCATGTCACTGCTGCCACATCCCCTTCTGCAGATTCAACATCCTCCCCCAGAGCTTCCCCCTTCCCCTTCCAGCTCTGCTGAGGCCAGCAGCTGGTTTATTCCACGGGCTGCTTTTATTTTCCTCATCCTCCCATCCCATGTGTGTCTCCTTGGGATGAGAAACCTCGGCAATATCCGTGTTAGCTCCAGCTGGATGCCAAAGCCACCAGCCCAGGGTCGTTCCCATGCCAGCCCTAACGGGGCTGTAGGAGAAGCAGAGATGTCTAATCCAGCCTCTAAATGCTGAAAATTCCTTGGGGATTTATCCAGCTCAGGTAAATACCTCTCTGGATTTATATATATATGTTAATTTATATTTTTTCTAGGGATTTGGGAGGAAGGGTTTGCTGGTGCTGAGGTTTTTTGCTTCCCTATTGTTTTACAGTGGGTTTGGCACCTCTGGGATTCCCGCTGCCCTTTACCCCAATCCCCCAAATTTTCCCTAAAATTCCAACCTCTTTTGGAGCTGGGCTTTGCAGCCTGTAGGGCGGAAAAACAGCGCTGAAGGGAAAGGAGCTGGCAGTGAATTTGGGGGGGTTGATGTCCTGACAGTGTGGCAGTGTCCCCTCGCTGGGGACAGGGAGAACAGGGTGGCTTTTCTTTGCCGTGCTGATCAGCATTCAGCTGGGGACACAAAGCACAGCTGGGAGGATGCTCCCATGGATCCGGGGTGACTTCCTCACTCGGGGAGGGGGAGGCTGAGTCTGCTGTCCCCAGCCCTGTCACATCCCCTGCGAGGTCACGTCCCTCCCGCAGCCCTATTTCTGTTTTCTTGGGTTTCTTTCCCTTTGTACGCCCCAAATCCCGAGTGATGTCCCCAGGGTTTTGTTCCCTGACAAACCCCAGGCCACGGTTAGGGACAGCATCCCTGGACTGCTGGGGTGTAACAGGGAGGATGCTCTGAAAAAAGGAGGTTTTAAAATCTTTTTATTGCCTGAGAAGTGCCAGGAGAAAACCTTGGATTATTAGAACTAAGTGGAGAGCAGAGGAGATCAAAGAACTTTTATAGATAAGCCGAGTCATTTTAAGCAGCTCAGAAGTACAAACTGCCCTTTTTAAAGGAAACCTTTGTCTGTGTAGGTGCAAACGCCCCAAATTTTCCCCTTTAATCCTCACACCTTCCCAAGAGCAGAATGGATGGAGCAAAAGGCCGGGATTTTACGAACGGGGTGGCTCTTTCAATACTTAGTGCCAGGGAAAGCCGGGTTCCTCTGCTGGAGTTTCACCCTGGGAGGAGCCTTTCATGACCCCAGATTTTGAGGTTAAACCCCAGTTTCTGGCAAGATTGGGGCGCTTTCCCCGTGACACTGTGACCAGGAGGATCCATGGGATCCATCCCATCCTATCCCGACCCGTCCCGCTCAGCCCGGCAGGCTCTGCCCAGATAAACACTGACTCATGTTTTTCTGTCCCACCCTGGGCACAGCAGCTTTTTTAAGGCTGCCTTTTCCAGCTATTCCCTTTTTCCTGCGCTGTTCACACGGACAGGGTGTGCAGGGAGGCAGGGAGAGGCTGGGAATGCCGGAGGCTGCGGGGTGTGGGGGTCCCGGATCCGTGATGGAGAGCTGGGATGTGTCTGAGTGGATGCAGGTAGGGATTAAGCTCCCCACTGTCCTTGTGCCTCAGTTTCCCCTGTGGTTGTGCCTCCTGCCTTTTCCCTTTGGGGGTTCTCCAGCAGCTGGGGGAGGTTTGGGAGACCTTCCAGCCGGGATCCTCTCTGACAGGAGCTCATTCTCAGCCTGCTGCTCCCATGACATCCCACATCCCTGTCCCCTTCCCATCCTGCTGGAGCAGGACAGAGGGGTCAGGGATGGTGGCAGGGTTGGAATCACAGCCAGGAGCAGCTTTTGGGCTGGCTGGAGCTCGGGGTTTGGAGGTCTAAACTCCCTCTTGGTGGGCTGGTGGTCGATTTACACCGAGGAATGCCTTCATCCCGGGTATCCCGGTGGGGAGTGGGATGCTGAGCAGCATCATCCCTGTGGCATCTGTTGCCATGGCAATCACGGGCTAAAATAAAGGGGAATTGGAGCTGGGTACCCAGAGCTGCTTTCCCATTTGGTGCCTTGCTCCCTGAGATTCCTGGGAGCTGCATCCCTGCAGGGATGTCCCTCCTATGTAACCCTGGGCTGGAAATACGTGGGTGCCAGAAGGATTGATGGGGTGGCCTCGGGTGCCAGTTTGGGGTGGGGTTTGCGATTCCAGGGCATGAGATGCCATGGAATTCTTAGGGATGCTCGGGATCCAGCCCGCAGGGTGAGGCTCAAGCTCAGCCAGAGCTTTGAACCCCCACAAAACTGGGACCAGCACCTGCCACACGTCCCCAGGGACATCCCTGCCCTCCAGGGACATCCAGAACTGTGGCAGCTGCTCCAGAGGGACGTGGAGATCCTGTTTTACCCCGAGCCCTTCCCAAAGCTGAACTCCAAACATCTGCCGGCAATTCCTCTCTCCCGGGAAGCTGTGCCGGAGCTGCCCGCGCCTCCCACGCCCGGAGGAAGCGGGTTGGGGTTTGGGGTGCGCTGGGAGCTCGGAAACCGCCCGTGGAAGGAGGGGAGGGAAGCGCTCCAAGGAGGGAAAGGCAGAGCAGCTGCCGGGGAGGAGGCGACAGCAGGACGGGCACGGACCCGGCTGTTCCCAGGGGATTTGTTTGTCCCGTGCCGGGGACAAGCATTTTCTAGGGGGGACAAGCACCAACACAAAGGCTCCCCCAGTTTCCCCAGTGCTGCAGACCCAGCCCTGCCAGGTCCCAGCCCGGATTCATTTCATGATGTAGATCAAAGCGTGATGCACTTTGACAGCTCAGGCAGGATCTGATGTGCTCCAAAGCTGCTCTGCTGGTTTGATTTAATTGAATTTGATTTGATTTGATTTGGTCTTATCAGTTCTCCTCAACCTGTCCCAGTGGCTGTGCAAGTAAAAGCCTGCCCGGCGGGCTCTGGGCAGGCAGGAGGCGATGCTGGCAGCCTGCCCATCCCTATAAACCCTGGAGCAGGGCTCTGGCACCGCCCTGCCCTTCGGGATCCGCTGCCGGGGGCCCGAGCATCCCCTGCCCTCCCCGTGTCCCCGGGACGCGGATCCCGCCGCGTTTCCCCGGTCACATCCGTCCCCCGCCCGCCTGCCTTGGCCAGGGCAGAGTTTTTTCGCCCAGAAAAGCTGGATTTGAACATTTTCTGCTGTTCTCTCGGTTTCCTGTTGCCTTCCCAAGAACAACATCCCTGACCTCATCCTCCCCCGGTATGTGCCGGGATGCTGCCGGTGCGCGAGCCGCCCGTCGGGAATCTCACCCGGCCTTCCCTGGGTACCAAGACAAACACAGCTGCGGGAATGACGGAGAAAAGGCTATTTTGGGTAAATCCTCTGCTCGTTTTTGTTGAGGTAGGAGGACAAAGATGAATAGATTGAAGGGAGAACAGTGGTTTTGGCTCGAGCAGGGAATTTTCAGCCCGGAGAGTAGCAATGAAACACTCTTAGTATTATGTGGCTTCCTTTTTTTTTTTTTTTTCCTCCCAGACTTTGGAGTTGTTTCGCTGTGAGAAATGAGGAGGTTTCATACAGCTGCCCATGAGACTCTCCATTTTTGGGAGAATTTTGGAGAAGCAGGTGGGAGTTTGCTGGATGATTTTTCCAGCAGGTCTGGGCTCCAGGTGCCCATCCTGCCCATCCGGAATGTTCATGGTGAGATTGGCAGCTGCCTGCTGCTCCTGTGGAGTTTGGGATTGCTCCTCATGAGCCCTGGAAACAAATCCATCCTCTGCCAAATCCCGCGGGGATGTGGAGTCCTGGTGTTCCTGTTGCTCTCTGCCATCCTCACCCCAGCTGGGAACAGAAACCAATCCCTGCCCAACCTGGCAGAACAAAATTACCAGAGAATTCAGATAAATAATGAGCTTTGGAATGAGCTGAAAGTCATCAGGCTCAGCAATTAAAAAGAATAATTAAGGGAGCGTTCTACATTAAAAACATGAAGATGAAGCCAGTGGGGAGTGGGAATTTCTCCTGTCCCACTGGAGCAGGGGCTGGATGTGGGGTCAGAGTGACCCCGTGGTGATGAGGGGTGGGGGAGGTTCTCACTTGCCCCATGGATGACAGCACGGTGGAAATGGTGGCTGTGGAGCAAGTCCAGGGAGCTTTGGGGTTCTCGGGATGGGATGGGATGGGATGGGATGGGATGGGATATGATGCAATGGGGTGTGGTGGGATGGGAGGCAATGAAGTGGGATGGGATATGAGGCAATGGGGTGGGGTGGACATGGGGTTCTGGGCTCCCCCACGTCTCTGGGGCTCTGCCTTTGGGGAGGGAATGACCTGAAATCCTTGTTCCATAAAGCAACGACTCATTAATCAACATTAACATTGCTGGGAGGGTCAGTTCTGCTGATTCTGTTCCTTCCACCGGATCATTGACTTTAATTCTTCTCTTTGGCCATGGAGCTTTCCCTGGGACACGGCCTCTTCCCAGCTCCAGCTCATTCCCAAGCTTTGCACTCACACCTCGTTTGTTCTGGCTGCTTATCGTGCCCCGGAGCTCGGCCAGGGGGAGGTGACAGGGTGGGATTTCACCCCCGGCCGGGGACTCTGCAGCAGCAATGGCAGGAAGGAACAGCAGGAAAAGCCTAGGGAGAAACAATAGCTTCCAACACAAAACACCATGGGAATTTCAAAGCAGGGCTGGCGGGAGAGTGACGCTCGGGGACCTTTGGGGTGAAATTCCTCGGGAACAGGGAGAGTCCTTGGGCGTCCCCACGTCCCATCTATGAGGACACATAAAGGGTGGGATGCTCTGTGCTTCTCAGTCAGGCTTTGGGGGATTTGGGTTTTAACCCCCCTGATCCACAGGGGAGAGGTTGAACCCCTTTCAGTCCAGGCTCTGGATTCTGACAATGGCAAATGGTGCTGTTGGTTTATCACTATTAACATATTTAAACATCGAGGGCACCAACTGGATCAGGAAAATAACTCTGAGAATCCAGAGAATACATCGTGCAGATAATGTGCACCTCGTTTTTACCTTGAATTATTTATTATTAAATTATTAGTAACTGTGGTTGATGGTTTGGTTCTTTGTGTGCACCCGAGGATGCTGCTCATAGTTGGGTGCTTGTACAGAGAGTACAGGATGGGATTTCTGCCCTGGGTTATCCCAAAAGATGCTGGGATCATGGCAGGACCCCACCTTCCCCAGACTGGAGGGGAGGAGGGTCCCCAGGCCAGCACAGCCCCCCTGTGCAGAGGGAGGCTGCACAGGATTAATTGTTACCACACCCTGAATGGGTTTCCTGCCTTAACCCCACATCCGGGGGTGAGTGGACTGTCTTTGATCCTGGCTTTAATGTTACAGCTCATGCCTTAGGCCGGTGTGGAGGGAGCTGCCGCTGTGCCCTGGGACACTGAACTGGCACCTGTCCCCCATCCCGCCAGAGAGGAGAGAGGTGAGAGCGTGCCTGGTCTCACTGGGGTATGTGGGGAGCTTCCCTTTGGGTTTTCAGTCCAATTCAGCACAAAAAGAAAAGAGAGGAGCCGTAATATGTTGCAGACTGGAAGGTCAGAGCTGCTGATGAGCTGTTAATGAGCATTATCCCGGTTTTCCCCCTGGAAGTAGGCGGGTAATCAACGCTTTTTTTGCAGGATGAGGCTACAGCCACATCCTGGTGGAGCTGAGGCACTGAATCACGTCCTGATGTCTCATGGATGGGGGTGGAAATCAGGGAGGAGCTGTGGGAGCATCTTGTCTGGGACCAGTGGGGTTCTCACGGGATCCCCCATTCCCGTCCCTTGGCTCCCTGTCCCCAATTCCCACACGTTGTACTTCCCACTCTCCTCACTGCGACTAACACCGAGCGTTTGCTCAGCAGGGAAAAATCACTGGCTGCAGATCCCAGCATCCCAAATCCCTGGGGTCACAGGGATTGGCTGCTGCTCACACGGACAATGGCGCTTCCCAACCAGTCTGATTACTCGGATGGCCTCAATAACTACAGCGACTACCTGGACTACACCTACGAGGACACGGGCGGCGTGTGGGCAGACCCAGCCCACGATCCCAAGGACATCACCAGGATCCTGTCTGTCATCATCTACAGCGTGTCCTGCGTGCTGGGCATCCTGGGCAACGGCCTGGTCATCGCCATCATCACCCTCAAGATGAAGAAGTCGGTCAATGCCGTGTGGTTCCTCAACCTGGCCGTGGCCGACTTCCTCTTCAACATCTTCCTGCCCATCAACATCGCCTACACGGCCATGAGCTACCACTGGGTCTTTGGGACCGTCATGTGCAAGCTGAACTCCTTCCTCCTCATCCTCAACATGTACACCAGCGTGCTGCTGCTCACCACCATCAGCTTCGACCGCTACGTGTCCGTGGTGTTCCCGGTGTGGTCGCAGAACCATCGCTCCACCAACCTGGCCTACGGCGTGTGCGTGATCATCTGGACCCTGGGCATCGTCATGAGCTGCCCCTCGCTCGTCTTCCGGGACACGGCGCAGACCCGCGGCTCCGTCATCTGCTTCAGCAACTTCTCCCTGTCCAGGAACAGATCCCACGAAGGGCTGGCTCTGGTGAGGCACCGCACAGTGAACGTCACCAGGTTCCTGGCTGGGTACATCCTCCCCATCACCATCATCACCTTCTGCTACGTCGCCATCGTCTTCAACCTGCGCCGGAACCGCCTGGCCAAGTCCAAGAAGCCCTTCAAGATCATTGTCACCATCATTGTCACCTTCTTCCTCTGCTGGAGTCCCTACCACCTGCTGAACCTGCTGGAGACGGTGCCCAACGCTGTGCCCTGGTCCGTGTTTGAGATCTTCATCCCGCTCACCACGGCTCTGGCAGCCTCCAACAGCTGCATGAACCCCGTCCTCTACGTCTTCATGGGCCAGGACTTCAAGAAGTTCAAGGTGACCCTCCTTTCCAGGCTGGTGAATGCCCTCAGTGAGGAGACAGGACACTCCAGCATCGTGCACAGGAGCTTCTCCAAGATCTCCTCCATGACTGAGAAAGAGACAACAGTTGTGTAAGCTCTGCCTGCAGGAGGGACAGAGTGCCCTGCTGTTGGCACTGTGACAGTGGCCACCCCTGTGGTGGCCCTGGTGTGGGTCAAGCATTGTCCAACAGTGTCCTACAGCCCATTTTTGACTGCTGTTGCTGCCTGGGGGCTGCCAGGGCATGGAGACCTGGAAGGTATGGAGAGGACACAACCACCCTTGATCTTATGTGGGATTGCAAAAATCCTTGTGCCAAACTAAGGAAACATTTTGGGACATTCCCATCCAACCTCTGCATTGCCTGACTCAGGAAGGGCTTTCCTGCTGTTTCCAGAGTGGTGTTTCCTGGTGGGGTGCAGGATATCAGGAAGGCAGCTCCCGTGCCACAGGTGATCCCTGTCATGGCCAAACTGGTGACACTCCTCTGTCCCGTGTCTGTGTGTGGCTCCTCATGGTAAATTCCTGAGGTATTTCGGTACCAGAACAAGGTGTTTGTGACTTTTTTGGGAAGTGTCCCTATGAAGGGTTGGAATATCCCATCACAGAGAACTGGGAAGTCTCAAATGTCTTCTAAGTGATCCAGACCCAGGGCCACCTTCCAGTGTGGACTCATGCACAGGGTCACCAGCATGGAAAACCGGGAGAAAAAAGAGGGAAAGGTCAATTTGAAATGTCTTTTTAATGCTCCTTTTGATGGGCATGTCCCACACGGTACATCCTGCAGAGAAGTGGATATTTGGGACCAGGATCAGGCCCATGAGCTCCTGGAGAGGACCTGCTGTCTCCTCCTGCATCCAGGGGGGACTGGCTCTGTCACCAGCTGCTCCCTGGTGGGACCAGTCAGTTCTGTGGGATGATTTTGTCTCTCCCACCTTGGGAATCTCGTGGGAGGCTCTGATGTCACACAACAATCTCTGCAGGGAAGGATGGACCGAGCCACCACCTTCACCCAATTTCACACCCCGTTAATTTTGGAGCTCCCTCACCACAACTTCAGTGTCACCCTCATTTATGTGTCACTCCCAGCACAGTGAGGAATCCCTGGAGCTGGGATTGGGCAGCACCCAGAGGACCTGGGGACATTTCAGGGGGTCTCTTTGCGAGCTTTGTGCAGAGCTTTGACACTTTGGCAGTGGAGAGTCTGCTCCCAGGTGCTCAAAAAAGCCGAAATATTTATTTATAGCTTTCCTTGGAAATTAGAAAATGGGAACTAAAATGAAGAGGCAGCTCCCAGGAAAAGCTTTTTCCAGGCAGCAGATTGTGCCAGGCACAGGTACAAGCAAAGCCCTGGTAACTGAGCCATGGGAGCGTCGGGATCAGAGAGGATGCTGCAGTGGGAGCTGGGTTTCAGGATTTCAGGATTTCAGACGGATTATCCGGAGTCCTCTCCATCCCACCTCGGTCTGCACCACCTCCTTTGTGTGATGGGACACTCAGCACCTGGATTGTCCCTGTTGGGATCACTCACTTCCCTAGGGAACACTCCACCACACCACATCCCAGGCCCAGGGCTACTCCCAGCCCTGACCCACAGGGATTTTTGCCCCAAAGCCCACGCTGGATCCATAGCCATGGAAGATGCAGTGCCTGACAAGGCTGCAGGGCCTCTCTGCTGGTGGGAGGAGGCTCCTCTTGCTCATTTTTATTTAATTAACACTGCTGGAAGGTTGCCGGGATCCTATTAGGAGTGGGATAGGACAGATGGGATGGATGGGACAGATGGACAGACAGGGACACACAGAACTTGCAGAAGATCTGTTCAGGGAACAATGGGAATGGGATGTACCCAGAGCCAGCAGCCTCTGGGGCTTTTTGGGCTCCGGATTTGGAGAAACCCTGAACATGGGAACAGTGGGAAGAAGCCTCAAGGACTGGATGCCATCCCACTGCCCCTCAGGTTGGTGCTGGGATGTTCCTAATGGATTCAGGATGCTCCTCACCAATTCTCCTCTCCAAGCCCATCTGTTATTACTCCAAACAGCTTAAAAAAAAAAAAAAAAAAAAAAAAAAGCAGTGCCTTGGTACTTATCCTGGGGTTAAATCATCACTGTAATGGCAGCTTGGGAATCCCAAATTTCCCAGATGTTTCAGTCCATCTTTGTAGCTGTTGCTTATTTAATAAAATCTCTGTTTTTCAGACAAATACCTCGATGTGTGGAGTGGGAAGGATCCCAGGGTTTTTCACTGAGCAGTCACTTCCCTGTGTGTGTTCCTGATCCCTGGTGTCGAATTTGGAATTGTGGAAAGAGCTCAGGAGCAGAGGGATGGGGTTTGGGTGACTGAGGTGGGATCTGAGCCTCCTGGATGGGCTTTGGGAGATCTCCCATGGATGATCCAAGTGCTCCACCCCATCTATCCAGACACCAGTACTCCTGTTCTGTCCCCTCTTGTTCCTGATTCTCCTCCTCCTGGCAGGGTTTGGGATGAGGATGAGGAAGAGAAGGGAAAAAATCCACTGAGTTTTCCCTGCTGGACCCTGTTAGCTTTGAATTAACATCCCCAAGGACTGTCAGTGATTTCTGTTCCTGTGTCCCCCACTGAGAAAGGCAGCAAAGAGCTCACCCAGGCAGCGTTAAAAATGCACATTTTTATATGTCTGTAAAATGGAAGCAGGGAAAAAAAAAACATTCCTCAGAAAACTTCAGCCTCCTCAGCCAGGTTTTTCTTTCCCTTTTTGGCAGAGTGGCAAGGAAATGCAGCTCAGTATTGCCCCAACTCCTCTGATTTTCCCAAAATACAGCAGGAGCTGCAGCTCCGGAATCTCCCGGGGTGCTGAGGATGAATCCTGTCAGCATTCCTTGGGTTTTTTGCAGCGCTGGATATTTTGGTCATGGAGAGGAGGGGGCTGCACTCCCCCAGAGTGTTGGGAAGCTCCAATACATTAAATCAAAGATCCTTGGATGCATCCCGGTGACTCCAATCCCGCCCCGGTGCTGCTCAGCTGGAGACATCCTTAGCTATTAATTAACAAAGTCCTCTTGATTAAGGGCAGCAGGAGGTTAATGACCACAGGCAGCTCCAGGGGAACGTGCACAAACTGGAATTAGAATCCAGGGAAAGGGCTGGGTGGGAGCTGCAGCTCCAGGGCTGGTGGGGCCAGGATCTGCCACGCATTTTGGGGCAGAAATCAGCGAAATTGGGATGCAGATGGATTTAACACCTGAGAGTCAAGGGGTGGGGAGGATGCAGAGCCACCACCACGCATGAAATGAGGAATGAGGGCGGTGGTGGGGATCAGGATTTTAGGGTAGGTCAGGGATTGTGGTAAAGGAGAACAGCAGGTTTTGGAGCACAAAATCCTCATCCCAGGACCCCCATCCCAGCTTTGGAGCCCCAACCCTTGTCCAGGACCCTCATCCCAAACCCTGGGACCCCACCCTTCGGCCCAGGACCCCCATCCACATCCCTGGGATTCTCACCCTCAGCCCAGAATCCTCAATCCACAACCTTGGGACCCCCAGTCCACACTTCCCAAATCCTGTTCCCAACCATCCCACCCCTCCCTCTCCCAGTTCCCCATTGTGCTGTGGGATTCAGCACCCCCACATCCCAGTGATGTTGTTGCAGCCCGCTGGGAGCTGTGGCAGGATTGTCCTCACCCAGCACATCCCAAACCTGCTGATTCCCATGGATTTATCCCCCCACCCCAAAACCATGGCTGTGTCTCATTTCCTGGGAGAAATTATTCGGGAATACAACAAACCCCGTTCCTGTGGAATGTGTTACCATCCTTAATGACAGCTCTTTTTCACTTGGCTGTCACGGCCCTAAAATCAAGCCGTGCTTTCCCTCTCCCATAAATCGCTGCATTTATTCCAAATTTGAATGAAATTTAAAATTAAGAGGAAAAAAAAAAAGCATTAAACGTGTTTCCCTCTCCCTTTGCTCGGAGCCAGGCAGGTTGGAGCCAGGTTTAAATTATCCCTGCTGTGCTCAGGCACGTTGTCAGCTGTAAATTTTAGGGGAAATAGCCGAGCTGATACATAAACCTGTTGGCTTTGTCAGGGATGGAGATGGCTGCTCTCAGATTTATGGCCCATCTCCCCATTCTGGGGCTTTTGTGGAAGTGCTGCTGCTGAGGTAGGGAGGATAGGGAGAATTTCCCTTTTTTAAACATAGCTGGAACTTCACAGGATTTAATTTGGGAAGAAGGAAAACTCCTTCTGAGCCCCCCAGCATCGTTTGCATTGCCCAGAATCCCGGGAATTCACCCCAAAGGAGCATCCACTCCCTTTGCCAGGAAGGAATCCAGACCCGAGCCACACTTGAGCATCACCTCCAGCACCGCAGCGTGCAGGGAGCACAACACCCACCCGGAATTGGGGGAAATGCGGGAGTTTTTTGGTGCAGACGCCGTTGCCACGGCAACAACTGAAAAACCCATCCAGCCCTGGAGGGAGGAATGCTGCAGCAGCACCGGGAGGCAGAAAAACGCTCCCAGGGATGCGAGATTGCCAAAAAGAGATGATTTTTCCTGCAGGAATCCAGCGAGGAGGGAAGGTCACGGTCTCCCCCAGCTCCGCACCAGGGCAGGGCGAGCTGTGCCCAGCCAGGGATGCTCAGGCTGAGTCAAGCGGAAAGATTCCCAGCTTTTCAAATCCTCGTGGAAAGGCTGAGTGCTGCCTCCCCCAGGCACCACGGAGATTATTAAATGCGAGGCTATTAAATGTCAAGAGCTTTCCCCAAGAAAATGATGCGGGAAAAGTGGTTGGCTCCTTTTTCCAGGGAGAATAGGAATTTTATCCTTGCGCGCCGGTTCCAGGTGGTTAAAATACAGCCCAGCGTTTAATAAATGAATAAAAAATCAGAGTAGGAAGCTCCAGCTCGGGCTGTGCGTGCGGGGCTCCTGGCAGGAGGGGGAAGCTGCTCTTGCGTCAGTGGGATGAGAGGAAGGGGGATCCCATAATCCAGAGGTGC